CCCCACAACTTTATTTTTCCATATCTACCTCTCCAGGCCTCCATCCTCGTGGTCACGAAAATCGGGTTCCGTCCAGGTCGAGAATTTCTCCAGAATGTACGCTGCCAGCCCGACGGGGGAATTATTCAGTCCGCAACCTGCAGAACAGAAGCATTACATTTAACCGCTGAAAATATAATTTTCACTGATATAACTGGTCATCTCCTGTGACCGAGACCCCCGTTCATCTGTCTGCATACAATAATAACTGTCAAGGGGGACACTGCCTGCATGGTTTGTGTTACCTTCTATGGGGGTTTTCGCTCTATTCTCTGTACATAATGAGCCTCAGCTTGTGAAAGGATCCCAACTGGCCTGAAATGCAGCAGCTTGTGTGAGAGCGACAGTTTTATTACAAAGATTTTTAAAGTGGAATTTTTTTGGGGGAAAAAATAATTTGAAGTGCCTTGTGCCAATATTTATTGTTATTCCATCGGAGTGCCTGGCGTTTGTCTGGTGTGCATCTCAGCATGGGGGACTATACTGTTGAAGAGAAGTAACTTTAAAAAAAAAACTGCAGTCAAAAGCACCAAAATAATCAACTTTTTTAAATGCTTACTTGCAGCGTTTTTTTTCTATCCATAATGTATTTTTTATTTACTTGCAATGAATCTTTGAACTTGCTAGAAAATTTGACTACTCCAGGAAGAGAGTCAGTTCCCTAGAACAGCCCCCCGAGGGCATGCACCAGACCGGAACGCAGGCATTGATGTGCCACACGTTCCGGTGCGGGCAATCGCACTGCGGTTGGAGGGCGTGGCTGTGGTGCTATCGACTTTAATGCACCGCCACACCCCCTCCCGCCCCAAAACAAAGTGAGCCGGTGTTCTGTCAAAGTTTGTGACTAGCTTGAAATGTGTGACTGGTCACGTGTCAGGATGCCGGGGGCGTCACCTCCCCACGGGGTCAGAGGGTACGGCGTAGGGTGCAGGCCTCCCTTCGGCCTGGCAGAACCACGGGTGATCCAACGGCCACTGCACATGCGCCTGTTTAGGCCTCAGGTGTGGGCCTTGCCGGGGGAGGTTCCCCAGCCCACACATACCGCCTCTCGCCTGCCATTGGCTCTCGGGGAGGGAAGCCTCCTGGTTGCCTCGGTGACCAGGGGGCGGACTCACACCCCCTGGCTATAAAAACCTGGCCAGAGCCCTGTCTTGTTGCCGAGTTATTCCACCTCATGGTGTGACATACGAAGCTCCCCTCCTATGTGCCTTGCTGCCAGTTTCCTGAACCCTCTGCTGACTTCCCGTGTACCGACCTTGGACCCACTTTCGCCTCTGACCCTTTGCTGCCTGCCCTGACCTCGGATTGCACTCAACTACCTCTTTGGATTGCCCCTTGTTACCTTGCCTTCGGACTTTTCAGGCTGCTTCCTGCCAGCGGGTTCCCTCCGTGCTGCTTGCCCGCGGACGCACCTGACATCACGTGGTCAAACATTTTAACGTAATCCCGCCCAGTTTTACAGCGGTTGAATGTGTGACCACCCATTAGGTCGAACATTCCAACACTGTCAGCTGTTCCAGGGCAGATTGGCATCGCAGATGGTATGTGCATGTGAACTGATCTGAAACAGCTGATTGGTCCTGAAATGTCACTTCTATCCGACTTTGTGAGTGGCGTGGAATGTGAGATCGCACTCACAAAGTCGGATAGAAGGGACATTTGAGGACCGATCAGCTGCTCCAGGACAAATCGCTTCTCCTGCACATTGGATCTGCAATCCTGATCTGCCCTGAAGCAGCCGACAAACCGTTGGAATGTTTGACCTAATGGGTGGTCAGATGCAATTGATGGAGGTGCCCTCCGCACACCTTTCAGCAGTCCCGGCCAACAATCAAATAAATGGTGCTCGAAGTAACTTCACGGATGGCACCGTGCAAAACACAAGATTGAAGAAAATAGGTCACCAGTACTCCATAAGTTAAAATGAATGAGTCCTTTTAATGGACAATGATGTCACAGAAATCCAACATGAGCCGACGTTTCGGGGCCACACAGGGTCCCTTCTTCAAGGCAAGAGATGTGAGAAGTTATTCCACATGTGACCTTCTCACATCTCTTGCCTTGAAGAAGGGACCCTGTGTGGCCCCGAAACGTCGGCTCATGTTGGATTTCTGTGACATCATTGTCCATTAAAAGGACTCATTCATTTTAACTTATGGAGTGCTGGTGACCTATTTTCTTCAATCTAATGGGTGGTCACACATTCCACCGCTGTAAAACTGGGCGGGATTATGTTAAAATGTGTGACCACGTGACCGGTCACACATTCTAACGCAGTCACAAACTTTAATAGAACACAGGCCGGAATGCAACCCAGTGCGTTCCAGCACCAACCGGAACACACAGGGGTTCGTGTGAACTAGCCCTTACTCCTTGCACATCATCGTCCTCTTTCTCTCCTTTTATTGTCTTATTACTGTTTGTGCTGGCCCAGCTCCTTCATTCCTCCCCTCATCTCCCTACATAATATTTTATGTAGCAGCCAAGGGAAGAGTGACAGGGAATTCTATACAGCATCACTTGATTGCCAGCGGTGCTGTCATCACATCCAAGATGGCAGTGCCCAGCAGCAGTCTCATGGCTTTCGGATGTCTACACAATGAAGGGCTTTTATAGGTGAACGTGCCATAAAACATGTTAAAATGCAGATAAAGTCTTATTTGAAGATTGTTGTTGAAATTAATTGGTTTGGCCACAGGGTCTCTTTAAGGCGGTTTGCAGCCATTTTCTTTATGTTGTGCCCTTTCCATGACTTCATCTTTTAAAAAAAAAAAGTCTCTAGGTACAAGCTAGTTAGGTGCAGCTTTTGATAATAGCTTTGTGATGGTTCCTAGGAGCAGATTATGAGTAGGTGCAGACATGAACATAAAGATACTTTATGTACACATGTAGCCAACCTGTGACTTGGCTCCGTGCCCCGTTACTTCATTAATAATTGGCTCAAAATGTGAGCAGATGTCATTCAATGAAGAGATCAAAGTCCCAATAACCAACAGATTTTCAGTTTGTGATTAGAGCCTTTATCTAGATCTCTTTATGGAGGTAGTACGAGATGTATCTCAGGGATCGTGTAGGTGGAGGATGCGTCAAATTCTGCCTTTTCCGTTAAACAAAGCGCAGCTCAAACGCAAAAGCAGCTAATGGATATGCGTGATCCGCTTTGTTTGCAATGCATCTCAACAAAAGAAATACATTTTCAGAACGGTCATCAGCACCGCACTATTGAAGCAAATGACAGCAAACACATCAGATGCCGAGACGGTGCAGTTCGCTCCCAGAACGCACTGGATCGCATAGATCAGGCCGGGCTGCATTCTGGGGCGGGAGGGGGCGTGTCAGTGCCATTCATGTCAATGGTACCTCAGACGCCCCCACGCTGAAAAAATTGTGCATGCAGCATTTTTTCAGATCGCACTGCGGGCGGGGCGTGTGTCTGAGGTTCCATTGACATGAATGGCACCGACACGCCCCCTCCTGCCCCAGAACGCGGCCCGGCTTCATGCATGCGATTCAATGCATTCCCGGGCGCGAACTGCACCGGATATGGTGTGACTGGGCCCTACGGGCCTGTTCATGTATGCATGTGTGTTAAGGCAACACGTTATCATGCAGTTCATTTTGAATGGGCAATGCAGGAATAGTACAGACATGACAGACAATAGTACAGACATGACATTGGTTCTTTGCAGCATGTGCTTTGTGTTGTTCTGCAGTATGGGTGTGTTGTCACGCGCATTTACTGCATGTTACTGTAGCACCTCGGTGTAAATGATTGCTTAGGGTAGTCCACACACCCTGCCAAAGACAAGTGTGGTCAGTTCTTTTGTTTTGGGTTTTTTCAACATACGTGTGTGTCCAGCCAGGTTAAAGAAAAAGTATTAAGCTCTTTGTTTTACAAGAAAGCATTACATATATCACATAGGATCCACAGAGCATAGTGGGTTATCCAACAGGCAGCACAGCAGTAGCTGCACTGTCTGGAGGCTGCATTTGTCCGATTGAAACTGCAGACCAAGCTGTCTAATAAGGGAGTAGTCACTGCAGATCAGCCCCTTTCATTCACTATTTGTTTTAGTTCTTTCAATCATGGAGGTTCAGCATGATATGTAGGGTAATCTGCATGCACATGCAACCTGTCTAGGAACTCCCTCTCCTCCAGACTGACATCCACCCATCAAGGCATTTTTACCCCAGGAGCCAGCCCACTGCTTCCATCAGGACTGAGGGCTCTTGAGAGTACTGAGGCAGGACCCATGTACAGCACCCTGCCAGACCCCTCCACCAGCTTTGATCTGCCTGCATTGCATAAAGAAGCATAGACACCCAGTGATGACATCACTGTGCCTAAAATATGCAATAAAAATAAAAAAAAACTATTTCACATTTTTCAAAATGTGGATGAGGAACCAGAGGATGCGAAATATATGCAGATTAAACTTCAGCTTTATTATGCAATATTTCATATTTAGCTTCCTGACAATAACAAAGAAATAAATGATGTGCATAATAGAAGTTAACAGAAATGTCTGCCCCTCAATCCAAATGACCACACGTTGAATTACATGGCTACCGCTCGATCTATAATGCAAGCAGATATGCTTCAATTGCTGTTCAACCAACATTATTAAGTGGCATTGAATGCGGAGTAATTGTTAGTGGCAGACGCGGTGGTTGCAGCATCTTATTGCTGACCTCCGGGGATTTTCATGCACCGCGGTCTCCACGGTTTACAGAGAATGGTGCAAACAAAAAAAACATCCACAGCTGCTGTAACCTTTCCTTACATGCAATGCAGAAGGCCATCACTGAACACACAAGTCCGACCCTGAAGAGCACAGGCTATAGCTGCTGAAGACAAGGATGGGACCCTCACTAGATAAGAACTGGAAAACAAGGCGACAAGCACCACTGAATCACTAAAACTGAACAAACCATGTCTCCAAAAATGCTGCCTGCTCAAACAAAACTCAATTTATATAGAGCAGGCAGATGGCAGAGTTAAATTTGACACAATATGGATCCATCTTTTCTTGTGCCAACAGGATGGTGTTGGTGCAATGGTACGAGTAATGTCTTCCTGGCACATGTGACACCCCTT